ACCAAACAACTCAGAATCAGAGCAACACACAAGGTCCACATTCCCACTTAACGCGTGAGCTAAAACCGCTAATACCACTCTACTTCTCCGTGGCCGTGGCCGAACGATTACCATACTGGGCTGCAACGCAGAGGTCCCGGGTTCGATTCCCAGGTCGGGAGAAATATTTGTATAACCTACATTTATTTCTCGGGTGTAATCTGTGGTCGTCTGTGTGTGTCCATGGCACCCGCGATATTTATTATATTTATTCAATTTCAAGCAACTTTTATAAAAAACGACTTCTTAATCGCTAGGTAAAAACTTAGTGGTTTAACCACCTAACGATGAGCTAACAAGCTCGACACTTAAATTAACTTAATTCGCTATAATATTAATTAATTCTAGAGTATATATTTACATTTACATAAATACTATAGATATTATACTAGAAACCAAGTTAGTAACTCTTTAAAACAGTTTTGCATTTCTTGACATTACCCTCAATGTTACTTAGCACTGTGCAACGTTAACCGATTTCAATAAAACTTGGCTCATAGATGTAAGTCCAATGAAAAAAATACTATTTAATATATATATATATATATAATGACAATAATAATAAGACCTAGAGCTGATCTCATGCTGGGAATGGCAGACAGATGAGAGGAGTTCCTCAATAGTGTACCTACAGCAGCTACCTTATGCATGGGCTCATATGATTTGTTTTGACGAGGATTTCCACATGCGTTTCAGTTGTTGATGAGGATGAGCGGTAACAAACACGGCGAAACGGCATGAGTTGAGTGGCATGAGGTGAGACTTTTGAGGTCTCAATTCGATTGTATTTTTTTGGTATATATGTTACGCGATAACTCACTTGTGAATAGATTTTGATGATTCTTTTTATCGAGTTCTTAGGTTTTCGCTATTGTTACACATAGGAAATGAAACTATTTTTCCGGATTTAAATCGCGTATATTTGTTTTTTCAAACAAACCGACGTTTCGGGCCCTTTACAGGTCTCATGGTCATGGTTGACTGAGGTGGTACAGTCTTCAACCAGTTATGTCTAATATTAATGCAAACCACCCTATTTTTTCACTATGTAGTTACATAGTTATTAATTAAATACCTTATTTTTAATTTTACAAAGAAAACATTCCAATTTACGCTACATTAAGTTTTACAAATTATTTTATTGAATGAATTTTTATTAAGTTTAATTTATTATTAATAGAAATTAGAATAAACAAAAACACACAAACAGATTCTTTTTATGTTGAAAAGAGAGTACCTCAGCAGTGATCCCATTTAAATTTGAAGTAAATATTCCACCTCTAAGGGTGGCAAAGTAGGGGATGAATGACTTTTGAGGTCGGTTTTTTTAGAACTCTGTACTGAGATAATCAAATCAATGCTTAGTCATATTTCAACCAATATTCTACAATTGACGACAAAGAACGTAGAAATGTGTATATTTGCGATATTATTTAGCTATATACTGGATGATCCCCAATTTTTCTATATCAATG